TTTTACTATGTATAATTTTCTTTTTTATTATATGTATTTTTTTTTGTATCGACGCAATATTTTTATGTCAAATCGTTTTGCGAATTGATATTTAAAATAAGAGAGAATCTTTAAACAAATTTGATTTTTCTTCTATTTTCATTTGGGCATTTCAATTGATTTTATTTAACAGGAAACATCGGTGATGATACTATTATTTCGGTATTTCAATACTTTTTCTTTTTTTTGGTATGCACCGAACGATGCAGTATTGTTATTGAAATGTTTTTATATATAAATTGATCTTAAATAAAATTGTTTCTCTGTTATTTTTTTTTGGCATTTTAATTGATTTTATTAAACAGGAAAAAAAAAAACGTTTTGCTAACGAATTATTCTTGTTGTTGTTGTTGTTGCTGCCATTCTCCAATATTTATTCATTCTATCACTTTCGTGTAACACATGTAATATCCGTTGAATCGTCAATTATTAAATAAATTTGTTAATATTTTATTGTACGGGAGTGTGAGAAAAACTAGATTTGTCAAATTGTTGTTTGTTTTATTTGGAAAAACAATATTCATATCAAAACGTTTAAATTGATTTTAATCAAAAAGAAAATAAAATAACAAATAACGTCACCTAACGATCAATCATATCTTTCTCTCTCTCTCTCTCTCTCACTCACTCTTTCTCCTGAGTATTATCTCATATTTCGTATAATAATTATTTCTCTCTCCCATCTCTCTCTCTCTCTGTAAAATAATAATAATAATAATAATAATAATTTCCCTATCACAAGTTAGGATTATAATTTTCAAGCAAAGCCCCGTTTTTATTCTCGTACTTTTATTTTATTTTATTTTATTTTTTTTAAACGAATCAAATGACTTAAAATCTTATACTATCACAAACGAGATGACAAATGGTAAATGATAGTTAGAGTAAGAGTAAAAGAAGGTACAGTGAAAGAGAAAGATAAAGATAAAGAGAGAAAAGGTGTAGAATGCAGACATTTGGAATCGGTGGTAGTTGGGGGGAGGGTGGGAGGGTGGAATTTTCGCGATAAAGTTGACTCGTAAACAACGGTCCTGCCAACGGCATCGGTTGGTACTCGACCGATATATATCTTCATTTCCATTTCTAGGATGTTTTTAAAGCCCTATTCCCAAAGAACGTCCCATATGGGGTAGCATAAATCAAGATGACACTTACATACTACCCAAAACCTACCCCCCCATTGCGAATCTCGTGAGAAACGTTAATTGAAACGTACACGTAGTATCGTTTTCTCAACATTTTAAGCAAAACGAGAGAAAGGAAGAATAACGAAACGACGTTGAAGGTGTTGGGTGGAGGATTGAGTTGGATGGGGTGAGGAGGAAGTATGAACAAAAAAAAAAAAAGAAAAGAATGAAAGAAAAATGGATAGGGGAGGAAACGAAAACGAGGAGTGAATGAGTCAACTTTGGGCAACCTGCCAAAACGTTCGCCTTGTTCAAAAGTGGACATTTTTCTTCCTGTTTTTTTTTGTTTTTTTTTTTTCTTTTTTTCCTTTTTTTCTTTTTGTTTTCTTTCATTCGGGAACCGTAGGACACACCTTTGACTACACCTGTTTCTAACGAGTCATAATTTTTTGTTTGTGTGTGTCAAACGTACAATGAAGAATTATTTCCTTTTAAGGATCTTACTTTTTTACCCCTCCCCCCCCCTCCACGAGTTACTTTTCTTTTTTTATTTTGTTCTTTTTTTTTGCTTTCTTATCTCTTATCCTTTTTTCCTTTTATGTTTCTCTTTATGTTCTTTACGAGATTAGATAATAATGTATCTAACGGGATGAGAAAGTTTGCGGAGGAGAATGTTCGAAGGTGTAGATAAGCTTGAGCTTTTTTTTATGAGCTTTACATTAGCAGGTAGCTAAGTCGTGGTTTGGATTTATGGGGTACACTTTGTTTCTTTATTTAAACGCTAACACGTGTAAGAGAGGAAAAAGAGCAAGATAGTTAATGTGTGTGTGAGAAAGAGAGAGAAAGAGAGAGAAAGAGAGAGAAGTTTCTCATTTTATAAAGAAGAAGAAGAAGAGTCCGCTAGGTTATCGCGATAATTTACTTTTTGGAAGAGTATAATAAAAGTGCACGATTTCATAGCAAGTTGGAAAGGATTCGAGGTTAAAGATAAGTACGTGAGTGTGTGTATGTGTATGTGTGTGTTTGTAGAATCGTTAATTAGTAAAAGTAATATACGGTTGGAAACATTCATTCCTTCTCTTTTTCTTTCTTATCGTATGAAAGTAAAATAAAAATAGGTTTGAGATAATATGAAAAACCATCGAGTAATAGTTGGTTTTTAGTTTTCCATGTCACGTATCCCATCATTTTATAGGGAACTTGACCAATGCGAACGTTACTTATATAGGAAACTATCTCGTTTGAAATCCTTCGCGAGATATTACGAAGAATATCGAACATTAAGTTTAGTAAAGATAGTTTAGTAGTTAAAAGTCTCCAATTTTTTTTTTTTTTTGTTCAAACTTTACTAAAAGTATTTCCGCGTTTATCCCTCATCAACGACGATTTGTAAAATATTATCCGACATTTTTCGCGTTTCTACGTGTACTAGTGCATTTTGTTTAAAAACATTTTTAATATAAAAACTTTTCCTATACGCGATGGCAAATAAAAATCAACATTTATTTTTTATATTATCACAGATTCGAGAGAAGAAGAAAAAAGGTATATCGAGATTATTCGTATCATTACAATCGTAATTAAAACATCCGAACGAATTATTTTCTTAATTATAATACAATATATCGATATAAATATATTTATATTAATATTTATATTTGAAATGGAAAAAAAAATAACAAATATCAAGTGATTAACGTTCGATTATTAATACACGATACAAAATTAATATTTGCGCGTATTAGATTAAATAAAAAAAAAAACAGGAACACATTAGATTCGATAGTGTAACGGGCTAAAAGCCAAGGAGATGAGTGGTGGGAAAGGACGGAAATGAAATGAAAGGAAAAAGGGAAAAAGAAGAAGAAAAAAAAAAAGGTGGAAGAGAAGTCATCTCTTTCCTTTCCTTCTAGTAAAATTTTGGAAAGTTACCAGAACACGATTGGCCAGGACGACCGCCGAAAAGAACGCGCACGGCATCGAAATCCGTAATCGTAGATGAGAAACGGCGCTTGTTGGTTTGAGTTAGTGGATTCTGGAGAGGGTGGGTGGGTTGGGGAAAGGGGGTTGGAAGAGGAGTAGTAGAGAGGTGAGGTGAAGGGGGTTGGTGTTGGAAGTAGAGATGCCCGTTAACGGTAACCACTGGCAACCCGAGGAGCGTCCCAGCATCGATCCGAGTTTTATCGAAGCACGTTCTCTACCATACCCCTTTCCCCAACCCCCTTCCCCTCCTCCTCACCAACTACCACCCTCTTCTATCGTCATCCCTAACCCCTTTCCCACTCCTCCTTTATTTTACGTTTTGCCCCGCCCTTTAGAATTCGCGTTTCGCGCAAAATTTGACTTTACCGCGAGAAATTTGATTCGTTTCTTACGAATTTGATTGGTCCTATCTTCAACTTTTAAAACTATACATCGAAGTGTTGCTTCTTTGATTTATCTTAGAAGTAAAGGAAAAATTATTTGAGAGAATGACAAAGTTTTACGATTAAAATTAAGAGATATCAAGATAATTATCTATTACGTTTTCAATTTTTGTTTTTGTCCATAGATTTGATAATATTTTTATTTTATCATCTCGTTTGTTTTTTTCTAATTAATAATAACTATCGTATATAGAGAAAATAATTCAGTTATCTAACAGGATTATTTATTTTCTTCAATCTTAGACATTTGTTATTATTTGTTCTTTAATATTATTTGACAGAACGTTCGCAATGGTTTTTTTAATCTTAGATCTCTCTTTCTTTATTTATCTTTCTGTTACGATTTATCTCTAGGGGGGTATTAACAGTTCAGATAAAATCATGCTAATACGATACGATAAGAAAAGAAGAAGCTTTTTCTCGTATTACGATTAATTCTTAAACTCGTGAAAAGTTTTAAATCGAGAAGAAAACGAAGTAGAAAACAAGATAGAGAGAGAAAGAGAAAAAGAGAGACAGACAGATAGATAGATAGATAGATAAAAGAAAAGATCAGATTGTTTTCTTCTAAACGTCTTGAGAGTAAAAAGAAAGAAATGTATTCTTTCATTCTGTTTTTGTATTTTTCTTTTCTTCCCCATCTCGAAACGAGACTGTCAAGAAACTGTCTTGATTTCTTTTACTTTTCTTTTCCCTTTTCCTTTTCTTTTTCTTTTTCTTTTTCTTTATTTTTTACCCTACACGATCTCCCTTTACTGCCACTTCGAAGTACTCACTCGAGAAACGAAAGCGAGTAATATCTAGTGAAGAAGTTTTCGCGTTTAAGAGATTACGCGTTTTCCCCCTCGTTGGAAACGTTCCTTTATAAGCAACAAACCAACCCCTCTTCTCCCCCTCCCCCTCCTCCATTTTTTCCCTCCTGGTCCTCCCATGACCGGTTTATACAAAAGAAAGCATAAGCATTTCGAACGGATTGTCTGTGTTTGAAATGAAATGAAATTGTTTTTTAAATGCTATTCCCGAACACTAGAAAACAACGAGTGGGATTCTTACGTTAAACGTAATAAGAGTTTGTTGTTGTTGTTGTTGTTCGTTTGAATCGTCAAGATTTTATTCCGTAAAAATATTAGTTTTATTTCGAGAGCTTAATGCTGGTTTGATTTTTATTTGTTTCTTTTTTTTTCAATATTTATTACGGATCATTTATATTTGTTCTATATTTTATTTTATTTATATATATATATTATATATATTCAATCAGATAAATTTATTTATTAAATATTTGTATATAAGAATACTATTAACGAAAGTCGATTACATATCGCGTCCCAAGTTAAATATTGAAAATAAAAATAATGTTGATTCGCGAAATAAAAACAAAAAAAGAAGATGCGAACAAAAATTATTATTATTATTATATCGTCTCGTGCGTGGAGGGACCGGAGGGGTGGTAGGGAAAAAAATTTTTTTTAATTAAAGTCTTATTCCCGCGAGACACAGATATCAGCAATATTTCGAACGATGCCGAAGTGAGGTGAAAAGGGAAAATATTTATACGATTTGTTTTACTTTTACTTCATCCTCTTTTTCTTTTTATCATCACATCTTTCATTAGATAATTATCGCGAGTTGATATTTAATCGAACGAATTCCCAGAACGTTTCGGTTAACTAGAATTACGCGTAATCGCATTAATGATCACGATTTTTAACACAACCAATGTGTTTAATCTTTTTTTTCTTCTTCTTATCTCTTTTTTATTAAATTTCATTCACACGAGTAAAACGACCAAGAAAAAAGTAAAAAAAGAGACAGAGATAATTTATTATATTATTTACTTAAAACATATATATATTTGCAAAGAGTTTCGATTTAACAAAAGGATTCACATTTCATCACGATATTTTATTGTTATATATTTTCTTCTTCTTTTTTTATTCATAATTTTTTTTTGTCCCCCCTTCCTTCCTTCCTTCCTTCCTTTCTTTTTTTCTTTCTTTCTTTCACGTAAACCGCACACGCGGGATGAGGCCCGCAGAGAAACTAGCAAATTACTCTCTTTTCGTTTGCAGACCGAATACGACACGCGAGTTTTCTATTCCAACGTTCTATCCCGGTACCACTCTATGTCGACGAGGGGTTATATTTTTTTTTTTTTTTTTTTCCGTGTGTGTGTTTTATTTTTTTCTTCTTCTTCCTTTTTTCTCTATCGAACCAAGTATACGCCCACGAGCTTGCTCTCCCTATTGTTCCGAATATTCTTTTCTGTATCGTTCATGACGAAAGAGTAAGCGGCGTCAAAAATATTTCCCGAGGCATTCTTCCTTTTTTTTTTTTCTCTCTCTCTCTCTCTCTCTCTCTCTCGTTTCTATATATTCTCTTTCTATCTCCCTTTCATTTACCCTTTTACTCGCCCCTTTTTTTGTCTTTCTGTCTATTCTTTTTTTTACTAACGTTTATATCTATATTTAATCCAATCCCATTCTTTTAACGTTTTCTTCGTAGTTTTCTACATTTTTATCGATATTTATACGAAAGATTATTTTTAGATAAGGTTTATATATATCAGATACAAAATATTTGTTTCACTATTTATAATCCCTTGGCCCTATTTTTTTTTTTCTTTTCTTTTACTTCTACGTTTATCTTATTCTATTCGAGTATTTTCGTTTATTGCGAAATCGAATCTCAGCGATATATATTGTTTGTTTCGTGACACACATACGCACGAGTTCGAGCGTATTAAAGAATTGAGAAGAATAAAAGGAGACAAAAAAATTAGTTCGGAAAAAAAAAAGCAAAAAAAAAAAGGAAATATTGATCCTAACCAGAGCTGCCGCGAATTAATTGTGTGCGTGTTTTCGAATAATATAATGTTATTGTTATTATTATTATTATTATTATTATTATTATTATATTGATCTATGTGAAATATTAATCGACAAATCATTATTATATCACCAAGAGTAGTATCTATATTTTTTTATTTTATTTAACGATTTTATCGTGTTGCACGTGTCATCCATTGGTTTACGGACAATGTCTTGAAAAGTTTTTTCATCACTTGACAGGTCATCTAGTGACTTTAAGTAAATCATTGTTACAGGCGGGGGGGCGGCAATGCCGCAAATATTATTTTTAAAACGATATTCGCAAGAAGATGCGAATATACGTGGCAAGACTAATCGCGTGTCTCAATAATGTTAGTTATTATTTAATTAATAATAATTAGAAAGAAAGAGATTTAAAAAAAAAAGAAAAAATGAAGGGGTAGAACAAAATTGGACGATTTTATTTGAGAATTATTAGATAACATCAGCTAGTAATAATGACATAAATTTTCTTTCTTTTTTTTTTCTTTTTTAAATAATTTTTTCCTTCTTTCAAATCGAATTCGTATTAATTGTTAAATTAATTGAACGTTATCGTAACGTCGTTACGATTCTTGCCACGTGATTCACGGTGATACTGAGTATCTCGATAATGATTTTATATCGAGAATTATCGATTATTATTTTCTTTCTTTTTTGTTTTAATTAAAAGCAGGAGAGGCAATCGATCGTCCTTACTCACCTCCGTAGTTCGGCCTTACTCTTTTATCGTAACTAACAGAAAAGGAGTCCAGTATTGCTGAGATGTTGACATCCCCCAGCATACTACCGCCGCCGGTTCTGTAAATAAAATGAAAATACAAATAAAATCGATAGATAGGATTCATATATGTTATTAATAATAGAAATTGTATTATACTATTTTATTTTATTTTATATTATATTTATTAATGAAATATTTTATACATTGAATCGCAAGAAAAATTCATACTACATTTAAAAATATATTCGATCGATATTTTGTTTACAAATATTTTCTCAAAATATATTTTATTAAATATATTATTATATATAACATTTATTCGTTTATAATTTTAAAAAAGTTTCTAAAGTTTTATACACGTATAAATTAATTCAACAGTTTAACAATCATATAAAATAATTTACTTCATATAAAAATGAATGAAAAATAATTGATTGTTTTTAAATAATGTTAAGAGAATACTTTTGATTATTACTGTATATATTAATAATTAAATTATCAAAGTTCTTATCGTATATTTTAAGATATAATCATTTAAAGATTAAGACAGATGAGACAGAAGTAAATATATTCGATAACGTTGTTATCAACGTTAATTAGACGAATTGTCAAAGAGTCATTATAAATAAATTGAAAAAGTATAAAAGGGTAGGAACGTCGAAAAGCGTATACAGGTTGAATACATTAGTCTCGTCTGAATAGGAACAGTAGATAGTAGACCTTTTGATCAGACTCCTGTGACGAGTGGGTCTACTAATCAAGTCGTCGTTATCCCCGACGTTTCTCTTTTCGAGCGTGCAAGTAGAAGAGGACTACCTTTAGTCGGACGCGTTAGACCGTATAGACAACTAATTAACGTTGCCTAACTTTTTTTTCATTCTTCCCTTCATTATTTTTTGCCCTTTTCTATTCTATATTCTATTTCGGAAACTCGATCGAAATCCTTATCCTTGATTTTCAACTTTTTTATACATTGTAGCTAATTTATCGTATGATATTTTTTATCTGACCAATAATAATTGTATTATAAATTATAATTTTGCAAAATTTATAAGAAAGAATAATGTTTCCATTCTTTTAAAAGTTTGTACTTGTATCTATTTTGTAATATATATATTTTATTTTATTTTATTACTTGCCATTTTATATATTATTTTATTTGTCTTTTATTTTCAGTGTAACAAATTAAACGTACGATATTTTTTATCCGACCAATAATAATTGTATTATAAATTATA